TCCTATTTCATACGTTTTAAATCATCTCATTAAATTATTTAAATGATTTGAACAGCCGAAATAATTTCGATCCAAGTAGTTTTATCAGGATAAGTTTAAACCAAAATTTATATGCTTATCATAAGCTGATGCCTGTCTAGTCTCAATATTATGGTAAATAGAGAACTGATATCTAGCGTGATTAGCAGTAGGTTTGAATCCCACTGTGAGTATAAGCATTAAGATGTGAATACATTCAACCAACCGGTCAAAATAGTAGACGAAACGTATCTTCTGGAATAGGTAGTCAGTAAAAATCAAAATTTATTAGAACCTTTGTCTAAATGATAATATGAAAGTGATCTAGTTTGAATTCATCTACATCACTAATGATTGGTCACTCTCATTTCTTAATGTCAAGAACGGGAAAATACAAATCCTTACGAGTACTCTGTGTAGTAATAATAAGATTACATTTTTATTTAAATAATACACAAACTGTTACTATGTAAACTGTAGCTACACAATAAATCTTACTAGTGAATAAAACCATCTGTAACCTAGCGGACAGTTAAAAGATTTATCTAGTGTATGTATCGATTCTAAACAAATTTTACAAACCTAACACTGACTTATATAATATAACCTTTGCTTAACTAACTTGTAGTTGAAACTGGAGTCCCAAATCTAATGATATGTAATGAAAATACAAAGACTGTTGATGTGGATTTATTTAAAACCCAGAATAAATCACATGATGCATAAGTATACTGATCTTCATATAACTTTTCATATTTGTGTAAACTTAACTGAGTAGTATATAACACCAATCAATCAACAATTTACTATGTGAGCACACTTACAATATCATAAAACTAAGCATTTATAACCAATAGATATAACTAATTGTCTAACTGATATGGCGATTAAAAGTGATTAACAGTCGTAGATGATTGATTCTAATCGTAATTCAGTCGATTAAGTCATTATTCTTCATACCAACTGTACTTGAATCACGTCTAATCATCACTTAGGTAATTCATTAATTTTTACTTAATCAACATTAAAGTATGAATACTGTGCCGAGTATAGATAATGGCTGGCAGTGGAATCAAGGAGGCATGTTTCGTCCTATTTGCGACTCGTCAAACTGGTCACTCTGGAACTCGAACCCCGCAACGTTCGCTTAAAACGCCATCGCATGATACACTTATCTACAGAGTCTCAATAGCCACCTATTTGTAAAATGAGATGAAGTTCAAATTCACTTGGTATTGTTTGCTTGTATCATTCTATTGTTGTATAGGACTGCAATTGATCAGTTTTATGTCGACATATGTGCATCCTGTGCAGATTGCTTTAATATTGCCTTGATTCACAAGCATTATAAGCGAAGATAATTGGTGGCTAGTAGTGGAACTCAGGAAGCGCGCTTCGTCTTATTTGAAGCTCTTCTGCTGGATGTACCCGCGTTCACTTCGGGACTCGAGCCTAGTGCTTTTCTCTTTAAATGCTATTGTGTTACTTACTTGGCTACTGAACATCAAGTTCGGAATGCAGGTACATCCAACTGACAAGTATCAAATAGAACGAAACGTGAGTCTTGGATTTCACTCCTAACCACTATCCATCTTTGCTTATAATTCTTGCGACCTAAGTCAATATTGAGACAATCTGCAGAGGATGTACATATGCCAACAAGAGACTGACCACTTTCAGTCCTTAACAACAATATAATGATAAAAGCAAACAATATCAAATGAATTTACTGTACCCAGTAGTTTCTTTCTAATAATATCTAGTGTTATTGTTATACTCCTCATTTAAATATTAATGATGAGTTTCTATACCTAAATATCTTAAAATCAATTATAATTTAGCGGCAGATAGACCGATGATAAATTTCAAATAATATTCTAACAATACATTAATAATTATTTTATAAGTAGTTAATTTAAAATATTTTAAAAAGATTTTTAGATAAATTAGGATAGTCTGTAAAAAATATAAAAGGAAATAAATAATCATAAAATTTATAAAATTATATGAGTTTGATCTGATAAACATATTTGTATGAACCTAAAATTGTGTGTTGATTCATAAAAAAATTTTAAAAAATTTTAAAAAAAAATGATCAAATGAGTATTACATTGTAATGTCTATAACTAGGACAGTAAACCAATTTCCAGATTATACAATATAATTATAATAATTTATTATTTATTTAAACACATAAATATTGGTACAATGAGGCAACAAATCGATGAACGACACATAAATCATTCAATTTTTGTGAAGGCTGGGATACTGCTCGCGTGCCCAAACTGAAGCAGGTGGTTTTCTTAAGGAGCCAAAACCGCAGCCTTCGACCTAATGACCTGATCCACAAGACAAATAGAACAACATCAGGAGATGCGGTCCCATGATAGCTAGTGACCAACAAGAGATTCATATGCCATTGGTTTCCTTCAGGATCCTGGAGCCCATGTGCACCATTGGTTTGTAATTTGGGTTTTCGAACTCCCCTCAGTGGACTATCTGTGTCTACCAACCCGGTCAAAGAGCCGGACATTGACTTTTCATTCTCTCGATTTCGTCAACAACAGTAATGCCGCGGAAGTGTAGTGAGTAGGACTTCCCTGGTAGTTGTTGTATGCACGTGGCGATGTGATAGTATTTCGAGAGGGTGTTCTGTCTCTCTCCACTCTCGGTCGTACCAGGATATTTGGGGGCGTATTATGTCGTAAATTAAGTGGATTCATTGATATTGTATAAAAACAAATTGAAATAATTTATATTTTGTATAGTTTGATGTTATTTTGTGATGACTATATCGTATAATATCTTGTTCGAATAATTTATTATTAAAAATTAAGAAAAAAATGAAAACATTATAATGGTTGAACAAAACCCTTTCATCTTACTAAAAATAACGTCATTATAATCATCTAAAAAGTTATTTTAAATAATTAAATGCTTGGTAACACCAGTTGCATATTACTTAAATGTCAGTCCCTTTTTTTAAAAAAATAACAAACGTAAATTAATTTTTATTCACCTCTAAGTTTATCTTTGATTACAATTCTCTATTGAGAACAAACCGAATCTGTTTAGTAATCAAACTCATATCAGATAGTAACCTAATCAAAAAGTTACCTTTCTTCCTCATCTTATTTTATACAAGTCAGTTAGATACAAATTCTTTATAATATGAATAATTAATCGGTTTCTTCTTGTTTGTTTTTCATAGAATAACATCAATTTTCATATTTAGAATAGTGTAAGTGATAATTATCACAACCTATCAAGTTAATAATTTTAAATAATTTTTCTGATTAGTGTTTTTTAGCGAGTTACTTTTCTACGGGATAGGATCGCTAACCCCATGCCCAACTCGCTTTCTTTTATCCGGGCTTAGGTCCAGCAGTAGCTTCAAAGCGACTCCAGGTGGAAATGATCAGTCAAGTTAGTTATTATTATGTCATGATTGAATGAACATCATAACTTGACTTAATACCTGGATAAATGACATTCATTTGTCATTCTTCCTTCATAGAAAAAAATACCTGTTTCATAATAGTATACAGATCCACAGAAGATCAAATAGTTCCTAATTATAATCAATTAATAGTTATATTTCTGTTAACCCTTTTCCAATTAGTACAACAATAGGACTTAAATATTGTTTTACTAATACAAATTGATGATTGAAGTTTTGTTATATTCAAATTAACTAAAAAGTATTTCAGTCTAACTGTAATCGATTTTAATTCCATCATTATGAGCCAACAATTAATAACAGGATGAATGTTGGACTATTTAAATATAAATGAATTGGCATTTTTTAACTACTGATTGACTTAATATAATACTATTTAAGCGAAAAGTACGTAAATTGGTTGTCATGTATGTGAACAAGGTATTCAGAAATGATTTAAATTATTAAAGATAATTTAAAAATGTGACATATATGTGTTGTGATTAATCAATTAGAATCTATGGTTTAACTGTGTGTTTTAACGTTCCTTCGTATGGAGCAAGCCGTAAAAATACTCAATTTTACTATTTACATAAACGTATCTATCACGTAAAAATAGATCTTTTATTGTCATGTACATGCGGTACAATTCTACCCCTAAAAACTAAAGTAAACGTTTTTAGAAAAATAATTCGATAGTTGAGTAACATTGTCATTTAAAGAAATATCCATATAAAAATCTAAAACCATCGGTATACGATAACTCAATACAATGATTAATTTGTCAGTGTGATGTTGTGGAGATGGTTAAGTTTTGATTAAGATCATAAACCGATCATTGTTAAACAACGATTGAAAATCTGGAAGTACCAGATTACCGTTTCGTCCTAGTGCGGGACTCCTCAACAGTGTGCATCTACGATCTTGACCACAGGATTCAAACCCTGGACTTTCGATCTCACCCGCGTATACTCAACCTCTACGGTACTAGTGGATGCCGACTCATTGATCTAGAGGGTATCAGTATACGCGTGAGATCGAAGGCCCCGGGTTCAAATCCCGTATGAGAGACCGTGAATGTGCACTGTTGGGGAGCCTCTTACTAGAACGAAATGGTTGTCAAGTTCTTTCAGGTTTTTAATGGTGATTAAACATGAATCGGTTCATTATCTGTATTAAAAACTAATTTGTGTTTTATGACAACGACCCATCTATTTTTAGAAATACAAGTCCTAAAGATAATGATAAAACTGGAGGATTTTATATTCTTGATAGTGTTATTAATCTTTGAGCTAAATAGTTTAATTTTGAAGCCGTTTTCTTTGTCCTTTTGTATAAAATCTTGAATTAGTGCAATTCGTTCTTCTTTTACAATTATATTACAGTTATGACCCCATAGGTCTTATTCAGAATAATAACATTAACTCTTCAGTTAAACCATTTATCTTAGTGAATACAATATCATTAAAAGTATTCATTTGTACTATAAATCTTTTGAATCATTTAATATATCTCTTTATACATATATCTATATTTTATTTAGATGTCATGAATATTGTCAAGCTCGATTAAATTTAATCTTTGATTCATTAACTGGTCATTCAGATTTACCATCTTTAACTAGAAAATCAAGAAATTTATTTGTAAATAAAGTAAATCGTCATTCATTATTACAATTAACCAATAATGAAAAGAATCTAATAAAAAATGAAGAAAAACGAATATCAAAAAGTAGAAATATAAAATCATCAAATCATATAAATAATTATAATACCGATAATGATATGAATCAAATGAATAATTTTCTTATTGAAGCTGAACAATATCGAATGTTATATAGACCTGAATTAGTATTTACATTCAGATTAAATCGTAAATTAATTCAATCATTGGAATTAGGTGAATCATTAATTGATGGATTGAAAAATGTAAGTTATAAAAGGTTTAATTTTTTATTTTTTTACTTACTTACTTAAGTCTGTTTCTTTAAATGGTGCATAGGCCGTCGACTAGCATACTCCAACCCACTCTGTCATGGTCTTTTTTTTCTAGTTCCATCTAATTGTTGTTCATTTTTCTCATGTCCATCTTCATCTCCCGGCGTAATGTGTTCTTTCTAGAAATGTTATTCTTAAATGATATCTTCTATGATATAAATAATCACTGAACAAACATTTTGTCCAAGTTTCAATTCTTTTGGGTTATAATCTGCATTAAATTCATATTTTATATTCTGTTTGAACCTTCCCATTGATGTTTAGGATTGTAATTGATCAGTCTGTTGTTGGCATATGTGCATCTTGTACGGATTGTCTCGATATCGCCTTAACTCACAAACGTTATAAAAAATGATGCATGTTGGCTAGCAGTGGAATCCACGACTCATGCTTCGTCCTGTTTGTAGCTAAGTGGATAACGCGATGAAATTCTAAGTGAACGATAATGGGTTCGATTCACGAAGTGATCATTAACTCTCGGATACAGATACATCCAGCTGACGAGTCTACCGCTAGCCATTATCCATCTCTGCTTATAATCTATATTGTTTGAAACATTAATCAATTTATTACCGATTGTGTAGACTACTAATGTGACCTAGAAAAAGGAAGTCAAAGATATTCAGCATAACTATGTTATACTTTATAAGTAATACATTTTCCCGCTCTAAGTTATGATAATTCACTTGATTCAGAATTTCTATTTAGGAAGATTTCAAGTTATCTAGTAAGTCGACAAAATTAACGATATGCAAATTATTGTTCTGTAATTTCTCTTCAATAATAACGATCAATTTCTGTAGAATTTAATTAATATCAATGAAAAAACTATGTCCAGCGTTTCTCCTAATTCTAAAAGATTGAATTTTGGAATTGGATAATCAGACGTAGTCCACAATTTACTATATAACTTAGTTTCTGATGGTTTCCTGTACTCATCAAGGAATATAGGGTGAATTCAACATCACAATCCATTTTACAAATGATTTTTGTTTATTGAACTTATAGGTGGATTACAACCATTTGGCATAGTGACTAAATCTCGTAAACAAATAATAACAATTCAACTGTTCTATCACCCAAATTTATATCACACTTTTATACTACCGTAATGAATATCACAAACATTTCATCATGTATAAATGGTTACTCATAAATCGGAAATCTTTATGATGTCTCATGCTGATAAGAACAAATATCCGCCATTTTAGTTCTGTTTCGTTGCATTTTAAATAAAAAGAATAATGTATATATTAAAACTAACAAATTATATCTGATATTGATCAACATATGCTCACTAGTGACGGTCTCCAAGAGGTATATTTAATCCGGAGTTCTAGTGAGAAGCATTGATAAGTGGATTTCAACTGGGTCAGTTGTGGGAAGTAACTCACTGATGACAATGGTGGATGTGTCGCTGAATTTCGTGGATTGATTGAAGTTAGACAATAACACCATTGGATACTGTACGGCTCAGTGGTCTAGTGATTAAATGCTCGCGTACGATACTATTAGATCCCGGGTTCGAATCTCGTGAATGTGCACTGCTGAGATATCCCATAATAAGATGAAACGGCCGTCCAGTGCTTCTAGATATTCCATGATCTCAACTAATAAAATTACTATAATATCCACAAAACCCCTTCCGATATATATAAATACTAAAGTGTACCTTAAGTGAATGATATCAATACTACTCATAGATAATAAAAGTAGATGAAATAATAAAGTAATCCACAATCATCTATTCATACATTTATCATTAAGGTTAGGGTCAAGTTGAACAAAAAAATAATTTTTAATGTTCAACCAGTTGTATTTACTATTAATACTAAAATTATTGTTATCTATTTTTAACCTTTGATTGTGTTCTAGCTTCATTCATTTCTTTTGTTTAGTTCTACTATTATTTGTTTATTTGTTTATTTATTTTTTGTTTTGTATTTTGTTTACTTTCTTATTTAATTTCAAATAGGAATATTTATCTTAATGTATTTCATACTGTTATTATCATTATTATTGTATTTTGAATGATCCTCTTTTTTTATATCTATTTGTCTAGTTTAAACAAATAGTATGTATGTTTAAATAATCTTGTCTAATTTTGTTTGTTTGTTTATTTGTTTTCGTTTTTGTTTTAATTCGCTAGTTAACTTGTTATTTATGCTATGATTACTGTGAATATGTAGTTGTTCATTTATTTATTTGTTTATTATGTTTAAGAACATTATTTCGATAGAGATTTAAGTTTAACTAGAGAAATCTTGTATTTTTCTTTTTGATTAAGACAAATCAGACAGCCAGTTGAATGGATTGATTGAAAGATAGACAGATAAATAAGCAATTGAATCTTGAATTTATAATGTTGTATTCCCTCCAGAGAACTGAATATCTGAATAACAATAATAATAATAATAGGAATGTGTAATCCACTGTTAAGTTTCTTTTCATTTTTTTTTTCACTTTATGGTAGGAAAATAAAAATCAGAGGCTGTTTCATTAATGAATGTTGAAAATGAAAATAAACAAATGAATAGTTTGATTGATACAGCTTTTGTTGTATAGTGACTTTACAATAAATATATTTAAATTATCAGAAGGGATTTTGTAAGGATTTTAGTGATTTTACAGTTGAATTCATGAGTCAATTGAAACTAGACCACCATGGAAAACCTGGAAACACTGGACGGCCGTTTCGTCCTACAGCAGGATTCCTCGGAAGTGCGCATCCACGATCCCGCTCCCCAAGGTTCGAACCCAGGACTGATCAGTATCGCGCGAAAACGCTTAACCTTCAGACCACTGAGCCGGCATCCAATGGTGTTAATGTCTAACTTCAACCAGTCCACGAAATTGAGGCACTGTCCACCATTATCTTCAGTGAAGTATCCCATACTAGGACGAAACGGCCGTTCAGTGCCTCCAGATTTTCCATGACGGTTTAGCTTCAATACAATCATGAATTCAACTATAAAATATTTAACTTCTTAAAGATGTTAAACTGTAGTATGTTAAAATGAAAATTTTTTATAAAACGTAAACAAAAAGAAGTATATTCAATATGGCAAGAACTGACAATGATATTTTGTTCTAAATTAAAGCGATCGATATCACGAACTGATCCAAATTAAGCAGCTAGTGAAAACCTGGAAGTATTAGACGGTCATTTTATCCTTGTAGAGGACTCTTCGGTAGCATACATCCACGGCATGCAACACTCAGATCTCGTGCGCTAATGCAACCACAGGACCACTGAGCCATCGTCTATCAGTGTACAGGTGTAACTTCAATCAGTTACGATTTTCCATTCTCTTAAGTGAATACTTTACTCACATCCGGTATGGTTGCACTTCACAAGTCAGGGCTTCTTACCATTCGTCATCTAAAAACCCTATACTGTGAATTTCGTTATGGTGATATTAAATGAGAGACTGCTGAGAAGTAACCAAATATAATAATCTCGTCCTTACAACCGCTTGAATTCTATTAATTAGATTGCAATGGGACTGAACGTAACGGTCAGTTGGAGGCCAAATAACGTAGTGTTAAATATCGGTTATTAAAATAACCTAGATCCACCTTCCAGACAATTGCCATCTAGCACAATGATTAGATCCAGTTTACAACGCACAGAATATAAACGCCTGTGGACAGAGGATTAATGATTGTGGTTGGAATAAAATCTAAATGGCAACTAGTTTGGATACATAGGACTCTATTATACCATCAATACATTACAAGTTAAGTAAATTATGTTGAGCTAGTATTCGACGTCACTAAATAACATCAAAATTAAAATACAAAATACCTCTGGAAGGAAAGCTTCAAGTTCTACGCTCACATTCTAGAAAGTGACATATAATTCCATAATAAAGATAATGCCGTTTACGCTGACATACCAATGTGTGGTGACTAATGCCATGTTTTTGTAATCATTTGTACTGATCGAACTCTATCAATCAAGTTTCTGTATGCTCACTATTCTTAATGAGTCGACAACACCGGCACTACGTTTTGATGTCAGCATAAAACCCAAGATCTATGCTACTAGAAAACTGATACTCCCTGTTTCTTACCAACTATCCCATACCACGTAACCTTGACGCTACTGCTACCACTGCAAACCACTAACATGTTTTTAAATGAAGACAGTATCAGAAAGTACGTTCAAGTTGACTATATATGTCAGCTGATAGATTTAATATTTTTCTAGAAGATAAATGATCTTAGATTTTATCGAATAATGTTTGTAAGCTTACATTACTTAGAACGGAATGATAAGTATTCTCCTGTAAATAATGTCTGCTTGTGAATTATGTGTTCAAAGTTCACAGATAAATGTTTAAATTAATCGATTCAGAAAAATATGTTTATTCATCAGTTGAGATGCTTCCAAATATCTCGACTGAACATCATTTTAATAAGTAGATTATCGAGATTAACTAGATGTAAAGATAATTTTTATCATCGATGGGTATCGGTTGTGACATCAATGAAGACCAAAGTAAGTAGAACTAATGTTTAACTTTTTATACTACTCAGATGTGTACATCTATTTTGTTTTGTAATGGAAATAATCCGTGATTATCTTAAGTTTACTCAAATCAGGCACATCACTTCACTAGCTTAACCAACAGTTTTTTAAAGGATTACACTTGGAACAGAAAGCTCGTCCATTTTATAAAGCACAAAGAAAGTATCTCTAGAAAAATATTTTAAGTTTAAACCATCTATTTATTTAAATGTTTTTCGGAACATTTTCGTAAAGATACGTTAAGTAAAGAACCCTAAGAGATTTGAACACTAATTAACCGTTGTCTTTTAGGTCAATTATTATCATCTATGCTCATCTATGGCCTATTAATTAAAACTTTCAGGTCCTGTGACGAGTCCAATTTGTTTCAATCAACAGATAAACCAAAACTATATAT